GGGGCTGGTGGCCTGCTCTGGAGTAGCACTCTGGTCACGAGCCTTTGTCATGTGGTTGAGGACATGCCCGAGGACACCAGGGACACAGCCAGGAGGGGCTGTATCAGCAGCTGCTTTTATAGCCTTATGCTGTCCACTAGAGGAGAGGCCAGGCCCAGAGACGAAGATTGGAGTTCTGGGTGGGTTGTGTGGGCCCCTGCCCAGGGTGTCTGATGGGCCTGACCATGTGCTATGACAGGGTGTGTCTGCCTGTGTTTCTGTCCCTGCTGAGTTCAGAACCTGTAAGAGTTGCAGTTATTAACTTTGCCCTTGGACTCTCAGGGCCTGCAAGTTCTCTGGTCCCTGGCTGCCAGATAAAACCTAGGAAGGTGAAGGCCCTAGAGAAGGGGAGGCTGCTCTGAGAGGGGCCCCTCTTCTTGCCCAGGCTCTGCCTGGCCACAACTGACACCCCCAACCTTGAGTTCCTTGTACTGCTCTTCACAGCTCACTGATTCAGTACCTGCAGCCTCCAGTTGCCCCGAGCCCAGGATCCCCGGCTCCTTTTATACTTTTAGCTGCCTCGCCAGGCTCTTCAAGAGCCAGCAGCTTCCCCTGAAGCCCAGGTTAGGACCTCTCCTATCTTTGGTTGCCCTGAGCAGCCTCTAGGGCACGTGGGTGTCCTTGGGCGCAGCATTTCTTCCCACAGCCTGGGAAGCAGCCTGACTTGCGAGACTACCTGCAAAGTATGCCCTGGAGGTATCTCTGCGGTTTTCTTAGCCTAGCAATAACAGACATCAGTCCTCCAGGCTCTGCAGCCGCCAACAGAGGCAACAGTCCAGAAGGAATTTCACCTCTCACCTGCGCTCCCCCCCACACCCTGAAACACATAGACACCTCGATGGAGCCAGGCCCAGGTCTTCCTGCTCTTTGGGGGTGATCTCTCAGGAAAGGAAACTTGATTTGCATCTGCAGAGTAAAGTCAAAGCCAAGCTGCCCATGGGACTGGGAATTCACTCCACCAGGAAGAGAGCTCTCTGCAGATGAGGTAGGTCAGCCAGGCAGCCCCTGTCTGCTTGTCTGTCTGAAGCATATCACAAAGTTCATTTTTTTTTTTGGTTCCTCAGGAAATGCAGAGACTCTTTGACAGGTCCCCTCGCATACCACCCGCCCCCCAGCTCTGGCATAGACTCCTAAGCATGGGAATGCTGGGGATGTACTGAGACAGAGAGGGGATGTCAGGGGAGGGAGGCTCGAGGGTAGAGGCTCTGGGGCTGGGATGGGCTGTGTGTTCTGTCTGCTTGCAGTGCTCTGGATGTAGCCTCTCCTTGTTCTAATCTAAATAAATGGCCCAGGCTGAGACGTCCACTTGAGATTTAGGGGAGCAGAGAGCCCAGGGCCGTGAGGGAGCAGAGTTCACCCAGCAGCTGGGCTCTGCACTGTGAATAAGCTGACAGACGACTCGGGAAATTTACAGCCGTGCTGCATAAAGCAACACACCATTGTGCTCACAGAAATGAGAGGGCACAGGCGGCCCAGCGCAGAGCTCTGGGAGGACCTTGCTGTGACCATGCCTGTGGCCCTGTGGCAGTTCTAGGGAAGCGGGGATGCACAAGGCAGGAGAGGGTAAAGCCACGCCTCTCGGCCTCCAGGCACCAGCGTCTTCCTTGAGACACAGGAGGGCTACTGCCAGCCATCACTGCTTCATCACTTTAAAAGTGAGGCCAGAAAAGGAAAGAAGAGATAAAAAAATGTTCTAAGAATAAAAATAAATAAAGAAGAGGGCTTGCAGGACCCACCTGCAGCCCCGCCGGACACTGCCGGCTTTCCTAACATAGGACACGGAACAGGAGCTGGGAAGGAAATGAAGGCAATACAGCTGCACACTGGGAGGTGTGCATCCCCGAAGCGGGAGTCACAGGCCTGACCAGGAGTTCCAGGTTGGTCCAGGAAGGTCTATGTCCATGTACGTTGCAGGCTACGCCCAGCAGCCAGAGAGCCTCTACATCGAAGTTGGAAGGAGGTATACTGGGGTACAGCCCTTTTCTCCTCAGCTTTTCCATTTTAAAGATTTTAATTAAAAAGTTATCCATGTGTGGGTGCATATGTGTATACACATTCATGTGTATGTGTGTGCATGCACGCATATATGCATATGAGTGCACACATGTGTGGAGGCTATAGGTTGACACCGGGTGTCTTCTATTCTTTTTTTTTAACCGTATTTCTTGAGGGTCTCTCATTGAACCTGGACTTTACTAGACTGGCTGGCCAGAAAATTCCAGGGACCATCCTGTCTCTGCCCAGGTAGCAGTGAGGCTAAGGGACACACTGCCATGCTCAGCTTCTATGTGGGTGCTGTTCTCATGCTTGCAAGAGCATCTCTCTCCTGCTCCGGTAGATCAGATCTTTTCACCTCTGCAACCCAAGTTCCATAAAGTCTACATGCTGGAGTTTCAGGACGTGAGAGTGTCATTAAGTATGTGTTCTCCAACTTCAGGCAAAGATTTCAAAGCCAGGAGAAGCTGTGTGCTAAGGTCTGCTTCCTGGCTGGAGTATGTGGGAAAGTTGTCCCTGGGGAAAGCAGAGGCCACCCTGTGGCAGGACACAGAGACATGTGTGAAATGGGTGTATTTCCGAGGACTTCCTCATCAGCCAAGGCAACCTTCTTCATCTTCTCCGGGAGATCCCAGACTCTGAAGGGTGACTACGCCCACATGTGAACACACAGTGACCACGCACACATGAGCTGACAGTGAGGTGGGCGTCACCCATGGGTCAAGCGCCCTTGCCAGGCCTTTGCCTTGTGCAGTGGACTTCTAGGATGGGCTATGCTCTCTCCAGTCACAAGTTAAAACTCTCTCTAGTTTTCAGAGCAAGACCAAGGTCCCCAGCTGTATGAAGAGGCAAGCTGCACGCTTTAAACCCCTCGGCGAAGGCCTGCCTCGAGCCAGATAAAGTCAGGATTTGCAACACAAACTTGCAAAGCAATTATTGTTACCAAAGTCGAAACGCTCAGATTGGAGAGAGCAAAAGAAATCAATGATAATTAAATTCTTCTATAAACACGGCCCCTACCCTCTAGGGGCTCTTAGCACGACACACTGTCCGGGAGTCGGCTCTCATTACAGAAAAAACACGGGGCTCGTTTTCTGGGCGAGGACCAGACCAAATAAATCTTTCTGTTGCTCGCCTTTGTTAAGTTGTAAGTCACTATTTTCAGAGAGCAGACGGGGGCGGGGGGAGGGGGGGAGGGTACGTGTTGGGGAGGGCTGGGAGGCACGGGACACAGAACTAGAAAGAGCTGTCATTCACTCCGGTAGCACAGATGTGGGCCTGTGGCCACCAGGGATGCTCTGTAACCCCGAGTGGGGCTTGGGGATCACAACACATGTGTGCCCACGTGGGATGCCTGCCCAGGGAAGAACACACAGACCGAGTCCCCACAGCTACTCCCTGGTGACAAGCACTGCACAGGCACAGCACAGGCACAGCACAGGAGTCTAATGTCATCGGTCTAGAACCAACCTAGACTCTTTCTTTCCCAAAGCCTCGGCTGGATAGACACACCCCACACGTGTTGCTAAACTGGTCCTGGCAGAGAAGTGGCCGTTTCCCTGTTTGTCTCAGGGTGACAATTGCCTGAGTTCTGTTTAAAAAGGCCTACTCCCTGGCTGGGAGCGCGGGGCAAGGAACTGTGGCATCCTCAGCCCTTCTTGGTGCAAAACAAAGGCTCAAGGGCACAAAGGACAGGCACCTGGGGCTGGAAGAGCTGGCAAAAGTTGCCTTCGGTTCCACCCCTTGGAGAATCTCAGGACGTCTCTAAGCGGACACTCCTCAGCTCTGAAGCAGGGATAGTAAGATCCACCGGGAGGCGGCTCTGTTACTCAGCGACTCTCAGATTCCTGAGATACAGAGTGGTCCACTCTCTACTTCAACAACACCCGCGAGGCTTCCCACTCAGGGCTGCTGCGGGGAATCAGGGGAACCCCATTTTTGTTAAGAGATCATACTTGAGGAGGAGGTGGCTATGGTGGTTATGTCAAGGACAGGATTGGATGGGGCTGGCTGGCTAAGGGTCCCCCAGGAACCTGTGGAGAATCCAGCTTCAAGTTACATCTCTCTCTGATTCTGATTGTCTGCCTTGGTTGACACTTTAGCTACAGGAGGAGAAAGGTTCTTTTACACCTTCTTTTGGGAGCATGGAAAGAGCCTTCTAGAAATTTCCTGGGCACTCCCTGCCTCATCCTTATACTATTCCAGGGAGCTAGAGGGTGGTGGGCCAGGAGACTGGGGCAGACACACTGAGCACTGTGGTTTCTGTGCCACTGACCCTCTGGTGACCACAGCCCCGTGGGTGTATCTGAGTGTAGGTGTTTGCTCGGAGGCAGGGAACGAAGGATGCATGGAAGCAAACAGGGACCGCCCCCCCATACTAACACTGGGCAGCTCCTACCTGTATGGCTGCTCCCCAGTATGTGTCCTCAGATGTCTTGTGAGGTTCGCAGATCTGGGGAAGATCTTGCCACAGTACCTGGGGCAGAGGGAAGAGAGTTGGGAGAGGCATTAGGGTGGTCCACACTACCCTTTTCCAGATTTCTCCTCATGCAGAGCCCAACTTAGAGGCCTCATGGCTGGTGGTAGGAACTGCCATGCCAGAATCCTAGTTAGTCCAGACATCTCAACAAAGCACAAAGCAGAGGGACAGGCATCACTTCTTTAGTCTAGGGGCTGTAGTGGCTGGGATCAGTAAGGGAGCCTTGGGAGCATGTCTTCCCAACACCATGGCCAACGGCAGAAACTGCAGCCCTGGGCTCACCATCCTTCCTAGTGCTCTGGTGAATGCTGACCAGCCGTGCTCCTCTAGCCTCTGAGCTCAGCCAGGTGAGGCTCAGATGGTCCGGCACAGCGGATGGTTTTAGAAGCTCTACCCATGTTTCTCATGTGTAGCAGGTGACATGGAACAGACAGAGGGCCAATACCCTCACGGAGCTTCCCTGTGACCCCAAGGGGCACGCCGAGCCTCACCTGCACGTGTATCTCTCCTTGCCCTTCCTGAGGATGGGATCCGAGAGCGTCGGGGGTGGGGACCGGAAGTTGAAGGGGTGGTGAGGCAGGGGCTGCAGGGAGCTGCCTGAGTCGGCCTTCATGGCTGCAAAGCTCTCCAGCTTCTCTGTCATGGTTTCTATGGCTGACATCTGCAGGCACGGAGAAGGCAGAGATCACGGACTCAGCCTAGCTGTCGTCTGTCTTCAGAGAGTGGACACCTGGAGTCCCTGTGTCTAATCATATCAGTCACCCTCAGGTGGTCACTGGAGGCAGAGCCACAGCTTGCTCTGTCCTTGTCCTTTTTAGAACTGAAGCTATGGTCCTTTCAACCTGGTAGGCAGAGTTTGATTGAACTCCAGGCTATGCAGGCTCCACTGAGACGGAAGGCTTTGGTGTTGGGGGCACTGATCACAAGGCTGCGCCTCTCTGTCCATCCCATGGAAACCATGGGAGGATAAGGCAAGGGCCAATCCAATAGAGGAGTTAAAGAAACTCATGGAACAATTTCGTAGGACCCATCACGAGTTGAAATAGGTGTCCTAGTCTATATGCCTCTGCTAAACATTTAGCCCAGAGGCCAGTTTCTTCTTGCAGACCACAGAAACAGGGCTGGTGAGAGTAGGCAAAGGAAGACAGGGGTGGGGCAGGTGTGGATGGGGATGTAGAGGGAAAAGGTGCAGGCTCTCCAAGAGCTGGGAATGCTGGCAGAGACTAGACCTCACCAATGGAGCATGGGTGAACAAGAAGAGAAGGTGTGACCGCCTCACCAGGCTCCTCACTCGTGGCCAGATGCCTCTGCTGAGTGCTAGGCCCCTGCACAAGCTGTCCAGTGATGCCAGAATCTGGGACCCAGCTGCCCGCGAGTGAGCAAAGGCAGAATGCCACAGGGCTGTGATCCTTCTGCAAGGCTTCAGTCAGTCAGCCCTTCAGCTCCTTGTTGGAGTGCCCAAAAGCCTTCTCATGGGCTCTGTTTGCTGGGCACTGCCAACAGGGAACGGAGGGCTTTGTACTACTGCTACTTGGAAGCCTCATAATGCAGAGGCATTTGGTATCTGGGGAAACGATGGTAGGGCTGTAACAGAAACCCATCGAAGGCAGTTGAGTGGACACTATGTCCAGCTACAATGGTGAGTAGTCATTGGACAGCTCTGCAGAGGCTATAGAGATTTCGTGCTTTGGCCTGTTGAGATGGGACCACTCACACTACACTCAATCTTTGCAACTCATGCTCACTGGTGGGCAGCACCCTAAACAGCTTCACATCTGCTTGTCAAGTCTCAGATCCAGAAGGGCTTGGGGATGATGGGGCTGGGCACTGGAAGGGACAGGTTATTTAAGGTCCCTGCACAGTCATAATGCCTGTCTCGTGGAAGCCTTCTTTCCACGGTTACCAGGTTCTTTCTGTCTAAGTGACAGACAGTCTATCAGACTGTTTAACTGGTGACCATAAGTCATCTCTTTTCTGCCTCCTTATCCTGGCTCTAGGCCACAAGGGCAGGCAGAGAAGGTAGGCCCATGGGAGAAGTGGGCAGAAGGGACAATGGGCAGCCGGCCCCCCGCAGGCCTCTCTTCCTCAAGTCGGGTGGGTCCTGCTTGCCTGGCCCGCTCTGCCCCATCAGACATTCCCGTGAGCTCCGAGCGCAAACACAAACACCGGACGCGCCTGGCTGGCTTCTCGACTTTTTCCAGTCGGCCCTGGGAAAATTGGGGGAAGCTATTAACCAAACTCTGAGGCCCGATGGAACAATGGGAGCTCTAAGTTTAGCTGTGAACTCAGCCAGTGTGCAGGTTTCACAGACTGGGGCTTACCCAAGGCGGGAAGCTCGGGGCAGAACAATGCTCTAAGCAGGGTTAAGATTCGCTGGTGGCGAGGGAGGCATAAGGGCTAAGTCCTGCAGCCCATAGGAGGGGCCAGACCTCTTGGGATGACGACAGGACAGGACACTTGGAGGACTTTCCCTTGGACTTTGCCCTTGGGAGGTGGGGGAGCATGTGGCCCGGGGGCACAGGCAGGGACATTTGTAGGCTGGAGGGGTCTATGCTCCACTCCCTGAATGCAGGGCATTAAAAGGTTCCATGGGGCTGCTTGTGAATGTCTGGCTTCCTCTCTGTTCCCTCTGCTCCTCTCCCTTCTGCTCAGTCTGGCCCCTGCCTCTTTCCTTTATCTGGTCCTTGCATTGAAGCAGGCTAACGTATCACCCAGCTCAGGAATACCAGCCCCAGGGTTTCCTTATGGCTGACACTGTGGTCCTTTTGGCATCCCGAATCAGTTACATTCCTAGGGCCTGGGGTTCTCCCAAGCATAGGGCTCCAAGCATGGGCAAGAGGCCCCTAGACAAACCCCAGAGGGCTTTTCTATGAGAACAGCCCCTCCCCTGTGTTCTCCATCTCCACAGTGATCTCAAGAAAGGCTCCTCTACTTCCGGGGAACCAGAAACCCCCCAGGTCCAGAGCTTGTTCTTGTGGGGTCTAAGGACACCCATCTCAGATGCCCACTGTGGTTGTTACCTGGGGGTGGAACAGTAGTGGGGATGGCCGCAGGTACTTTTCTTTCAGGACTCCCACAGGGTCCGTCACCTTCCGCTTTTCTACCCTGCTGGACAGCAACACAGAGGGTTACATACCCCACCCCACCGAGCCACTTGGTCCTCCATAACATGCCTGTGCCGCGTTGATCATGAGGTTGCTGTGGAGGTGGCCACAGGGCTGCCCAGCTGGCCCCTACATGAATTCCAATGGGCCTTGAGGGCAGTGCGGACAAGGCACAGCTGCCCACTGCACAGACACCCCCAGCTCCCCAGTTGTTCTAGGACCCACCCACTCCCATCTTCTCTGAGCTCTCCTGAATCCTCTCCGACTGTTTACAGAACATTTTGTGCTGCAGTATAGACGTTCTCTGAAGGCTCCACCTGCACCAGCCTCCTGTCCACTGGCTGGTCATACCTGAGTGGTGGGGCTGCCCTCGGGGTCTCCTGCACACCCACAAGTCACTCCGCATTGCAAAGGCTGCACTCCTATCTCAGGCATTGGTGGTGTAGAAATCCCTGAGGTGTTTTGTCTAAACCCGCTGACCCTCTTGCCCCCCAAAGACACCAGCACGAGCTATCCTAAGTTGCTCTCTTGCATCCCACCTGAGGCCTGGCCTGGCCTCATTTTACCCCTTCTATCAGCTGGAGCCTTTGCTTCCCTGCCCTCCAGGGAACAGCAGCAGGAGAGGTGGGCACCGCAGCTGTAGGTCCCCAGAGGAGACAGCGAGGAAATCAAGAACTAGGGTGGCCATAGGAAGGGCTTTTGGACAGGGTAGAAATAAATACCAAGACACTTGGCAAGAGCTGTCAGCCTGGGGCTTCACTCTGGTAATTAAGGCCTGCCTGCTGTGGGGAGGGGTCTCTCACGACAGACACTCAGCCTTTCAGTCATCTCGGGATGGTGATGCTGGCAGAGAAAGGAGGGCCTTGATGACAAGCCTAGCATTGTGGCGGCAGCGGGGCAGCTCAGGACCCTCCTTACGGTCTGGCTGCAGGACTCTGTCCTAGTCTCCTGTGCCTGCACAGTGGAAAAACATTGCTGTTGCTTCCCCCGAGCTCATCCTTCTGCAGAGGCTCCTGTCCCACTGGTGGCCACAATCTTAGGTCCAAAGGACCAGCACTTAGCCTAGATTCCTGACATTACGAGTAGAGACCACATGAGGATATAAAGGGAGACTCTGGGCTCCTGTGGTCAGTTCCCATGATTCTCTTCTCTCAGGCTGACCATGGATTCCTTACAGCTTACAGAAAATGTGTGAGGTCTGATCAGTTTGGTAGACGGGTCGGGCAGGGGGCAGTAGGAAAGGCCGAGAAGGGGTTCACACAAAGTTCCCCCAGCCGTGGGGTCTAGCCAGGGGCTCTGTTTGTCTCTAAGTACCTGTTATGTTCTGCGTGAGCCCACGGGGCAGTTGGTGCCTTTTGCTTCCTGCCTTAGTAAAGTTCTGACTAGTACTTCCTCCTCTCTTTCCTCTCTGGAGCCTCAGCACTTCCTCATGCGAGCTGTGGGAGGCACATTTTCTAAGAAATACCTGATGGATATCTTTCTTGTTTCCTGGGATTATGAAGCCAGGATCTGCCAGAAAACAGAAGCATGGCTGGGCGGGGAAGGTGCAGCCGGGGGCCTGGTAGATAGATACCTGTAGGCCTAGGTGGCCATGCCCCCTGGGTAGCAGCTGTTCAGTGTGCTTCCCTTGGGATTTTCCCACAGCTTTATTACCTGCTTGCCTCTCTTAGAGTTTTGGGTCCATCCCCAGTCCTCACGCCATGGCCAGCCCCGAGGAGACAACAGGCACACAGGCCTGTTCCCTGAATATCTCTTGATGTGTGCTCACACATGTGCACAGACATGCCTGACAAAGCAGGGTCAATGTCAAATGTATGACCCCCTTCCTAGGATCACCCACTTCTTACTCCCTGTGACTCCCTCACCCAGCAGAGTCGGTGACATGCTGGCAGGGTTAGGGCTTCAAACATGGGGCCTGGCCCTCCTCTGCAAGCCCACCTTCTTCTTCGGGAAGCTCAATGCCTTTTCATAAGTCAGGGAGTAGATTCAAACTTGCCCTTCATTGGAACCAGTATCAGACAGGCAAGAATTCTGCCCTACTAGGACCAGCAACCCAGAGGCCCCCCTAGTATGGCTCTAGGGCAGTATGGGGCCACAGGGTAGTCTCAGGAGAGCGAAGCTGCAGAGAGACGAAGCAAGTTCTCAGAGGTAGAGTAGGGTGTGCTGACCCTCAGGAGAAGTGGAGGTTAGTTTCCGGAAAGAGCTGATGGGAGATGGGTCTAATGGAGAGGCTCAAGGTAGAAGATGCTACCCCTGAGGGAATATTGGAACACTCGTGGACTGAAGCTCCTCCCTGATGCCAACGAATGCACGAGTTAGGAGGCTGAGAGAGAAAGGGTGATAAACAGAGTCCCCACCAAATAACTCCATGGATGTGGGCCCCTGGGGAGAGAGAGTGAGGGCAGGCCATGTTAATACCTGTAGATGGGATCCATGAAGAAGGGCGAGGGCTTGGCATAGTGCAGGGACGGCTGCTGGGGCAGCTGTGCTGGGCAGACCTTAGCCAGCCCCTCGCCAATCCCTGGCTTCCGTTCACCGTAGACGTGGTTCTTCCGCGGTTCACGGCTGCCTCCGTTCTGGCTCGCCCGGGCCCTGCTGCCGATGCTCAAGTCTAACGGCTGCTCCTCACTGGATGAGGGGACCAGGGGGACCTTAGGTGTGAGCAGGGCAGGCTTGGCCTCTTTTGGTTTGGTGGTGAGGTCAAAGGGGCACTCCGCACTGGGGCCGCCCACCTTGAGGGCATCCCGGGGTGACTTTGGCTCAGCCTTGACCAGCAAGTTATGGGCGAGGGCTCGGTCCGTGAAGGGGTAGAGAGAGTGGGGGAAGTTAGGCAGAAACTGGAAGGGGAACACAGAGTGGTAGGGCAGCGAGCCTAGTTTCTTCTCCTGCATGCTCATGAAGCCAGGCCCGAAGTACTTCTCAGCGATGGATGCTATGGCCTTGATAGAGTCGCCTGCGGCTCCCGAGGCCGTCAGCAGTTGCTCCTCGGGTGGCGGGAAGAAGGAGTGTTGGGAGTAGAAGGCCGGCACCTCGGCCACACTGTTCATGGCCCCAGGGGGCACTGATCCACCCCCAAACTCAGGTTTGCTTTCAGATGACTTGGCCTTGGCCTTGTCTTCTCGGCCACTGTCCACGTCACTGTCCAGGTCTGAGCCCGTGCCCGTGGTGGTGTCCAGGTCTGTCCCCGTCGTGGTGTTGATGTCCTCAAAGTCGCTGCCATCCGACATGTCAGGGCTCCTGGCTTTGACCTTCTCGACGTATGCATCTTCCAACCGGCCGTCGAATTTCTCCTCTGGCCCCGTGGCCGCCGTGGCACCTTGGCTGCTGTTGCTGACCGCAGAGACAAGAGGCAGGGCTGGGTTTCCCAGCGGGCTGGGGAGCTTGGCGTCCTGCGCGTGGTTCAGGGGGCTCTTGAGCAGTGGCGTGGGAGGTAGCAGAGGCGGTCGTGGGTACAAGGATGGAGGAAAGATACCTGGGAATCCCGGAGTGAGCGTGGGGAAGGCTGGAGGGGCCGCTGAGAAGGGTAGGCTCCCAGGATGAGGTCTGGAGGGGAAGTACTCACTGAAGCCTAGCCCCCCATGGTTGAGGGTGGGGGAGGGTTTTGTCTTGTCCATCATGGGGCTGGGGGTCAAGGGCAGGCCTGGGGTGAAGATGCCGCCCGGCGTGTAATGGTTCTTGCCCTCACAGAAGCGCCGGTGCTTGTTGAGGGAGGAGGTGGTGCTGAACATTTGCCCACAGTCTTTGCACTTGATCTGAGTTCGGCAGTCAGCGTGCATCCGCTTGTGCCGGCACAGGTTGGAGAACTGCGTGTAGGACTTGTGGCAGACCTCACCTGAAATACCCACGGGAGGCAAGTAGAGATGCAGTGTGAGATCCCCGTGACTCCCAGGTACAGACGCAGGCTGGGGGCTGGCAAAGATCACCGTGCCTTTTCCCTGGGGTCCTGGCCTGGGGGACCATGGTGTCTTAGCTGTCTGTGGTGGGAAGCAGGGCAGGCTGGGGGCTGGCAAAGATCACCACACCTTTTCCCTGGGGTCCTGGCCCCGGGGGACCGTGGTGTCTTAGCTTTCTGTGGTAGGAAGGGTGGCATGTTTATTGATGGCTGATTCTCACCCTGAAGTATAGCTAATTCCTACACTGTGATCTTTGGAAGTCACTGGGAAGACCGTCTGTGGTCCAGGTTTGTGTGAGGGTAGAGCAAGGACACACAACACCTAGTTTCATTGGACTAGGAGGTGGCTAGCTCAGAACATCATCGTGACCTGCCTCAAGGCGGTGACCTTGGTTGGCTGTTTCTACAAGGGAGCAGCCCCCTCTTCCTAGTCTAAAATGCCACTTTCTTTCTGTCCCCATCTCTGTTCCAGTTCTTGCCACCAGCATCTCAGGAAGGGATGCCCCAGCAGTTCTCAGGAGTCCTAGAGTTAGGGTCTGTGTTGGGGAGCAGGGCTTGTCCAGTTTTGGGGTTAGCCAAAAATGGGGTGAAGCTTTGTCTATGACCTTCAGGGGAAGGGCTGGGGCCCATGCTTTCAAACTTGGAAAGCCTCCTAGTAAGGGTCTCTCAGTTTGGGGGTCCAGCAGGGTCTGTTCTAGCTGACAGACACCATCAGGTCTCTTACAGGATAGGGTAACACCAGCAGGACCTCAGTCTAGTCTAGAGGCTCAGAAGACCACAGAGCTACCTTCCTGAAGCCTGGGAACTGGAACATTTCACCAATCTTTCTCCTTTTCTACCATAAAGAAGGTATATGTGTGTATGGTGCACATTCTTCCACACACTCTTGCCTCCCACTGACAGGGACACGCACATGCACACATGCACACGCATACGCACACACAGTGTATATGTTGCACATCCCTCCACACACTCAAACCCTTATAATCCTCTCTCTCCTCCCACTGTCAGGGACATGCACACACATGCACACACACACACATGCACACACACACGCGCGCACATGCACACGTACACACACACCCTGTGACTCTCCCCACAGGACAGTCTGCTTTCTGCAGCATGGTGGAAACTGTCTCTTGCTTTCTTTCTCCAAATCCCGAGTTGCCACTTTAGCTGAGACGTCTTTTCTCTGATACTATCACATACTTTAATCACAATATCTATTTATATTAGCTGCCCCGCCTTCTTGGTCATCATGGCAGGACATTTTTCTGGCTGAAAGGAGTCAAACTTTGGTTCATTTAATCAAATCTTCCCTTTTTGGGATACTGTTCTGGGAGAAGTACCACATTTAGATGGTCTATAAATAGCCTCACCTCATTCCTGGTCTCCCAGAGGGAACCACAAGGCAGATCCCAAGCTCAGGTTACCTGGACAGACTAGACAATCAGCACCCTTGCTATGTTCCTGGGTCCCCAAAGATCCTGGTGATACCTACATATAACCTCCTGCCATTACTCAGGGCTCTCCTGGGACAGAGGGACCCTTGGTTCCTACCTATTACTACAACCGGGAAAGAGGACTCTGTGGTAGATGGGTTATAGATACCTGGGCAGTCCTAGGAAGGGCAGGTCCCAGACATTGAGAATGGCTGCCAGGCAGCCAGAGCCACCCAAAGAAGGTGGCAGCTTCTGGAATGGGGAGAGTGCTGAGACTGTTACATTGTGTTGGGTATGAGAAGCCGAGCTGATAAACCTGCCAGGACAGGAAGGGACCCTAGGCAGGATTCCCTTTCCTTCTGGGATATGTGTGTAGATGCACATGAGCACAGGCAAGCATGCATGCGTGCATGCGCGCACGTGCACACACACACACACACACATGCACCCGGGGAGGGGTAATAGTGCCAACTTACTAGCTCATACTGTACACTCTTACACATGCACACAATTCCTTCAAAGATTTTCTTTTGAAAAGTATCCTAAGAATGTTTCTGTGGCCCAGACACTTTCTTCTTCCCCCCTTTCATTTTGCCGCCCCTGCCCCCCATATCCACATCTGAGCTCCCTGATGAGAAAGATGCTATCCCGGTCTCTGTGCTCAGTGAGGTGAGGATTTGCGGGCTTCTAGACATTGTTTGCACACCCAGGTTTCACTTGGCAGGCAGACGTAGAGTTCGCTTATATGTAGCCGGTGCCTGGTTACTGGGGACTCTTCTTCGGAAGGGCCACATTACTAGACTCCTGAGCTTCCTCCACCCTCCGTACACACCATGGTCTGGAGGATGCACACAGCGATCCATCACACACATCACACTAATCTGGCACAGGTGTGTCATTCGGATTGCGAGGCACGCTCATAAGGCCTGCCTGTCCACTTCTGGACATTTCCTTTTAGTTGACTACCCTTGGCCAAAGCAAGGTTGCAGAGATGGGCCATGCCAAAGACAAAGGGAGAAAGGGCCACAGATGCCAGGAGGTCCTTAGGAAACACCATGCTCAGGGCATGCCATCTAGAAATGGTCACATTCAGACCCTCCCTAGGAGACATGGTGCCCAGAATATGTCATCGGGGACAGTCATACTCAGAGGTCCAGCTGGGGCTCAGCGAGGGTGGGAACACAGGGAGGGAGGGCAACTGGCCCCTTTTCCAGAAATCTCCATCATTAGAGTCAGCTTTGCCTACTACGCCCCTCCAGCTACCGCAAGGAAATCTGGAGGTGTGGGAAGATGTGGGACGTCGGAAGGGGAGAAGGGTGTGTCTATAAACATGGAGTATCACATGCCTTGTGTCCAACTAGGACCTAGGAAGCCAATAGAGGCTTCTGGGTAGATGGGGGTCCTCAGCGGGGACCTGGCGGGGGCAGGCTGGGCAACTCACATATGAATGGCTTCACCGTGCTGTGGATATGTTTGTGCTGTTTGAGGCCGGAGGATGTGGCAAAGGTCTTGCCGCAGTCGGGGCAGGCGTGGGCCCGGGCACCAACGTGCTGTGAGCGGATGTGACGCTGGAGGTTGCTGGGATCCGTGAACACCTAGGGGAATAGATGCTGTTGGTGCATGCATGCCACCGTAAGCCTAGGGGTCTGAGGGCTGGGCCCTGCCACTCTCCCTTGTCGCCCCTGCGTTGGGATGGTTGATACAGGTCTCGCTGTAGCAGCGATTACTAGAGGAACCTTAGTGGGATGTGGAACCTTTCCTGGCCTCGATTTCCCTGCCAGTGGCCTCAGAATACTGTGACTCAGAGACTCCAAAAATACTTAGTGTTTTCCAGAGCACTAACCGGGTGGTCTTGGGTCTGGGGGCTTCACCCCTGCCACCATCGGCATTGCACACTGGCAGGGGGCACAGGGCTGCCCCTGAGAAGACTCAGCTCTGGTCGTGGCTCTGTTTTTTTTGCAGAGACTTTCTGCCCTTCTCACTAATGCAGAAGGACCTAATGAGCTTAGGGCATCTGATCCACTACACGATATCTCTCAGCCTCTCAGGAGTTTTCCACACGTGGGGTGACTGCGTGCCCTACGGGGCGGGTGCCGGTACCTTGACACAGTTTTCACATTCGAAACGCTTGCCGCTGTCGTGAGACATCTGGTGGCGGATGAGGTTGGACTTCCAGTTGAAGGCCTTGGGGCACTGGTCGCATTTGTACTCCCGCTCCTCCGTGTGGACGATCATGTGTTGCTCCAAGCTGTGTACAGAGGATGGGGATCACTCTAGGGTCCACTTGTCTGGACGAGGAGGTCTCCTATCCCATATGGTTTGCTCTCCTGTGTGTGGCCCCTGCATGCTGGCTGCAGGTCCATACTCTTCCTCTTTTGGGGGTCACTGGGAATAAGAGAAGACAGCCTACCCATCTTAGAGGAAGAAGTCAGTGCCCGAGCCACCTTGACTCAAAGCTGCCCTGTCCTCCAGTCAGCCAGGGGCAGGGTGGAAGCCTAGGCGATCCTTGTCAGATGATCCCAACGTTAGGGCTAAGTTTGTGTCTGATGCTGTGGTTGGAACTATAATCCCAGCATCCAGGAGGCTGAGGCAGGAGACTTTCGAGCTCAAAGCCAGCCTGTACCACACAGCTAGCCCATATCTTGGAGGATAAAACAAACAAAACAAATGCCCCCAAAACAAAACAAACAAAGCTTGAGCCTAAGAGAAAGTGTTCAGGGTACCAACACTGTCATAAGTCCCAGAGTAAGACCGAGGCCCTGAAATTTAAGTCAGCCCTTACTGGCTGACCAAATACCAATCAAGGAGTGGTGGGCAGTGGTGGAGTGGGTTGTGGATGAGAAATACCACAGCAGTGAGAACAGCTGTTCTAGGGGCCGGCTCCTCTTGGCTGCACTAGCAACCCCTAAGCCCCTCCTCCCTGGGGACTCTGCCTCTCCTGTCCCCAGGATGACCGTTAATCTTCATGAGCAAAGCAGTAATATATCACGGCCCGTTAATTACGGGGCCCAGCCATCCGTTTAGAGCAGAAACGCCTGCTCCTCTAGCTCCCAGAGATTGTATCTTTTCCCTGTTGTTAATTGTGATTTATGTGTTTATGTAAAGAAAACACGGACCCTCCTCTCAGCCCTGTTTCTCTGCGACGCGCTCAGGCGGGATTTGCCCACACGCTTTTTCTCAGTCATCTGCTCAGGGTGGAGGGTCTGCTGTCCCCAGGGAGTCCGTGATGGGATTGGTGGCAAAGCCCTAGTAATCATAGAGCCTGTTAGTGGCCTGATGGGGTTTTGCTCTGACTTTGCAAGATTGTCCTGAGCAAACTCTTCAAAGGCAGGGCCTCTGAGGCTGGAAAAGTTCTCAGACTCCTCCATGCTTCGGAGCACTGGGGCCAGTGTGGTCCTGGCTTTCCCCACCCAGAACCTAGAATGCTCTTTTGTCCCAGGGGTTTATATAGGTCCCCAAGGATTCTGTGCCTGGGTCCCCACATTGGTCTGGCTTCAGGGCAGATTGGGCCTGCTCCAGCTGCCTGTGTCTGGCTGTCACTCAGCTGGGCTTGAAGCTCTCTTTGCCCATGGCTCTGCAGTCTCTCCCTGGCAGGTGGCCATGAATGATCCTTGAGTGGGTCCGTTGAGAAGGGCCGTGTATGTCCACAGAACAAGGTTGTTCTACATCCCTTCTACGGTGGATGCTGCACCCTGCACCTCTCAGTTTGGGGCCTTATTGCAAAAGTATCACTGGAGCCAGGTGGTGGCAAGACCACGCTGGTCTGTGAAAATAGAGAGTTCAGGCTGTGTGTAGGGCAATGGTGCCAGTGGCCTGCAGACCAGGCCCAGTGGGTCCTCCTGCTGGGGCCAGGCCCTTTACAGTGAGAAAATACCTGCAGCTTCCATCCAGCCATGTGCACCTACTCTGTTCCCAGTGCAGCGAGGCAGCAGGTAGGAGGCCTTGGTCTCCTAGCCCTAGTGTCCAAGACTGACAGGGAGGTAGGCTGGAGACCAAGGGACTGCCAGCTGGAGGGAGTGGGAGGTGGGGTGGGACGGCACCTGTATTTGTTGGGGAACATCCGCTCGCAGTCCTTGCATTCATGAGCTTGCCCATCGCTGCCCCGGCCAAGGCCCTCGGGCTTGAGGTCCTCCCCGAGGCCCTCGTAGAGCGGGGCCCCCGCAGAGCTGCAGGCATACTTCTTGTGGCGCCTCAGGTCCAGCTTGCACTGGAAGAGCTCATCGCACTCCTCGCAGCGGAAAGTGGGGTCCTCTGTAAGACAAAGGGCGAGGAGGTGAGCGGGGAAAGCCAGGCATCCAGCCCTGGATCCACAGGGGACCCATTGCCCCAGGGCTTCCATCCTACCCTGGCTGCTCCTACTCAGCTTCCTTCCAGCCCTTGTCCTGGCTGCGCAGGGGCGCAGAGGTCACAGGACAGACCAGACCATGCTGGAGGACCTCATCTCGGCATCGTGGAAACACTGAGCAATTTCAGGCTCCTCCCTGCATCCCTAGCGGTCACTGTGGATTCAAGGAGGCCCTGCCTTGGAGTGGAGAAGGAAGCCAGGCCAAGGGCTTTGTTTATGAATTAGGAGAAAAAAGCAGGCAGAACTCCATCGCATATAATAAATTATTGTCGTCAAGGTCAAACAAATTAAAGGGGGGCAGCTATTATTAAGTTTATGAGGCAGCATCCCGAGCACAGTGCCAAACCAAACAATTAGCCCGGAGCTGTAACTGGGGCGGGTCTCTGCACCCTGCCCCGCCTTCCTGCTGCTGTTAGCCTTTCAGCTTTCACCCAGGCCCGGAGAGAGAACACCTGCTCTCAGATCTTGCACAAAGAGGGCTTATGTGCACACGTGGGCATGAACATGTGCAGTCTGTGTGCGCTCTGAAGTTGCATGCGGATACGTATGCAACTGTGTCTGTGTGAGTGTCTCATCCCATCGGTACCCATGTTTGCGAAGCCACATGTGGATGCGAATGCATGCCTGGGTGTCTGCATCTAGACTTTGGTGAATGGGCACATGCACGTATGTGTACCTATGTGTAAGCATGGGTACACGATTATGTACATAGCTACATGTGTGATGTGTTAGCGTATTTTCACATTTGAATACACATGTATTTATGTGTGTCTGCATAAATGAACATGTAGGTATTCATGAAGATCTTCATGTGACTTTGTATGTATTTTTCTGTGTTATGTGTGCATGGGTATATGTGTTCTATACATCTGTGGACATGGATGATTATATAAGGTGTTTGTGTATACGTGTGTGGATTTGTGTCATTGTGTACACAGTTGTGAATAAGCATGCACGTGTTTGTATGTATGTAAGTGGTCACATGTTAGGGGTTTGCATTTGTATGCTAATGTGTGTGTCTGTGTCTATGAATGCTGCATGTGAGGGGCATGTTTGCATCTGTGTGCATGTGTAAATGTGTAGGGAGGTGTATTGGGTGGTTGTGAGGGCTGGCCTGGTATCCAGCAGTAAGCAGGGACTTAGATCAGGCCAGAGGCAGTGTTGCTCCTGGCCCTAGCTCTCACCAGAGAGACTACCATAGCCACAGACTGTTTCTGAGCCTACAGGAGATGCTTAGCATCTCCATGCCCTGAACAGCATGCAGTTCTAAACAGGGACCCTCTCCTGCTACCCAGAAGCTCTGCTGAGTGGAAGTGTAGAGGTGATGATATTCAAGTATCTGTCCTGGGCTGTACCTGGTACTCCTAACAGTGGGCACCAGGAATCCAAGGTGGGACTCTGCAGGGCTGGGTGTCAGATGCACAGCCAAGCCCAAGCAATGATGCTCACTATGACCCCAGTGCACTCAGCTAGTCATATCTGAGAAAGGGGAAGTGCCTGGGTGCCAGGGAATAGACACGTGTGTGTTTAGGGCTGACTGGAAGGCACTACTGATTTTCAGAGTCCAGACATCCTGGCCCCACTGGCTTACCTCAGCAACATAGAAGCCTCTTTTGGGAGGAAAATGAGACCATGGAAGGAAGGTGCTGTGGGTCCTTTGAGTCAGTGGAGTTCTTTCCTATATGTAGCCCTGCCATGCCAAGCTGTGCTGTGCTGTACCCTGCTGTGCCTGCTGTACAGTGCTGTGCTGTGCTGTGCCTGCTGTACAGTGCTGTGCTGTGCTGTGCTGTACCCTACTGTGCTGTACTGTGTGCGCAGTGCTGTGCCCTGCTGTACAGTGCTGTGCTGTGTCTGCTGTACAGTGCTGTGCTGTGCCCTGCTGTGTCTGCTGTACAGTGCTGTGCTGTGCCCTGCTGTGCCTGCTGTACAGTGCTGTGCTGTGCTGTACCCTACTGTGCTGTACTGTACAGTGCTGTGTGCGCAGTGCTGTGCCCTGCTGTGCCTGCTGTACAGTGCTGTGCTGTGCCCTGCTGTGTCTGCTGTACAGTGCTGTGCTGTGCCCTGCTGTGCCTGCTGTACAGTGCTGTGCTGTGCCCTGCTTTGTGTGCTGTACAGTGCTGTCCTGTGCTGTGCTGTGTGCGCAGTGCTGTGCCCTGCTGTGCTGTACTGTACAGTGCTGTGCTGTGTGTGCAGTGCTGTGCCCTGCTGTACAGTGCTGTGCCCTGCTGTGCTCTGCTGTGCTGGGAAACAAGGATTGTATTCTTGCCTTGGCTTGGAGGTCTCCACCCATAACATCTCCAGGGAAGGCCCTGAATTCCCCCTTAGGTGCCAGAGTGGGACCACATGACTCACAGGATAGGGTGGGGAGGAGGCAGGCACAGGTGATTCACACAAACAGCAATGACCTTCCATTTCTACAGAAGGAATGAACTACAACTCAAAGAGGGGTTCTTCTCAGAGCAGCGAGCTGTGAATATCGTGGATGCCCATGTGGAGACTCACGGGGCACTCTTTGGGGCAAGCAGCATGCCGAGAGCCTCCACCCAGGGGTATTCCCTGTATCCCTCCTCTGTCACTGATCAGCTGTGATGGGCACTGTTCACTATTTGGGCATGAGATGCAGGGTATCAGGGCCCTGACTTCCCACAGAGGATGGAGGCTGACAGTCAGACACTATTAGCATTTGGAGGCATTCCCGTCACCCTTCACACCAATCCTGGTGTGGGTTTTCAGAGTCTGGGCACACTAGGTACATGCTATCACGGAGTTCCCCATGCCCCCCGTGGTTCTACAGAGCTGCTGCTGAGGGCTGGAGGGGATGGATGTATGCAGATCATAGAAAGTCGGGAATAAGAAATGCTCATTGCTACCACACTCTTTCTAGACTGAAGAAGGAGAAGTCATTGTAGTTTAGGAGGAACACGAGATCATTGGCCACCCACTGGCTGGCCAAAATGTCTACTTCTGATTTGAAATTTGGGCTTAAAATGATTTTATTTTTAAATTAAATTAATTTTTTAAAATTTTTTATAAATTAATTTTTTAAGGCAGGGTCTCTCTATTTAGCCCTGGATGGCTTGGAATTCTCTATGTAGATCATACTGGCCTTGAACTCACAGAAATCCACCTGTCTTGCCCCCAAGAGGGTTGAATTAAAGTCATGTGCCACCGCATCAGGCCTTGGGCTTAAAATCTTAAAGGTAGGGATTTAATAAGAAATTCAGCTTGATTCTTACTTAGAAGTCACCCTGGAGGGGATGGAAATGACCTTGGTGGCAGCATTACCCTTCTCCTCTGCCCCATGTGTCTTCTGGACTTCAGTTTGTCTCTGCAGAAGGACAGAGTTTGGGATGGGACATGCCTCTGCCCGGGTGACTGGGGCGGAAGAGCCTTTTAGATTCTTCTGGGTAGGGAGGGCCGGCCTTGGGCATACACCTGGGGCACACCGCACACCACTTTTATTTTCCCAGAACACAAAATTCCATCTAAGGAAGTGTTGAAAGGGCAGGTTATACTGGTATTATGTCTATTATAGCCCATCACGGCCCGGGTCTCTCCTGCGCTCACCACACAATGGGCTGCATCGTGGAGCGGTGAAGTGGATTGCCAGGGAGCTTTCTAAATGAAGTGAGTGTTTGAATGCAAACGATTTCTTTTCTCCACGGAGCAAGTGCTTCTCAGGAAAGAGAGAAAGAGAAGTCTGCCTCCTTCATCCACTAATCAAAGCATTATAAGGTCACCTGACTAAGAGTGGACCATACCAGCCGTCCTTCTGACCACCTGTGAGGATGCTGAGTTGGCAAACCCATCCAGGGCTCCAACTCTGTAGCTGGTGTATCTGTACAGGGGAGCCATGCCAATTCCTACCCAAACCAAGGGTTCCATTTCTCCCTCATCACAACGGCCCCGACCAGACCTCCAGAACCCCTCTGCCACAAAAGCACAGGAGAGAAACTGGAAAGAAACTCTATCTAAATGTGGTGGGGGTCTTAGGCTGTGGTAGATCAACCTTCCACCAAATTATACTGCAGCGGCACCTGCCCGTCAACCCTGCACCTCCCTTGTCTAGCTTCAGTTCCATCATCAACTTTCTCGGCTGAACAGGAATGTTACAGCAAAATAAATCCCTGCCTAATGGCTTTGAGACTGAGGGGTTCACAATTACACGGCACCCGCATCCCAACCTACAACTCCAGCTCAAAAGAGCTCAAGAGTCTACTCCAAATTCCTGTGGCGATAAGGGGCTGGCTGCATTTAGCCCGGGCTGGGATAAAAGATTTTTTTTTATGATAATTATCTGAGTGAGGGACGCGTTTGCATTTTCTTTCTGTGCAATTCTGAGTTTAACTAGGGTGTGTGTTGGGGGAGTAGCTGTTGGGGTGGCAAAGGAGGGATCTTGACAGCAGAGGTTAGGAAAGTCAAATGTTTGATGTCAGACTATTATGTGCGAAAGTAATTAGCTCACAAATGTTTGATCAGTTATTAGGAAAATGGAGAGTGGGTTATTTAATATCGGGGCGGGAGGTGTGTGTGTTGGGGGGAACAAGAATCAAGGCTTTTAAAAATCTTTTTGGAAGAAAGACATTTCACCGCGTGAATGGAGCTGCGTGGGTGAGGATTCTCCTCTCAGTTCAGAAGATTCACAGGTCCATTCAGCAGTGATTTTAAGGAAAAGACCCCCCCTCATCTTGTTGCATAAGTCTTGGCAATTCATTTCTGCTTTCCCGATCGCTTAATTAAACCCAAAATTTAGAGGCAGAGACAGAGGACCTTGTCTGGTAAAATGGTCCTTCCACCCCAATTTCTTGTCTGACAACTTAGAACTGTGTATTGCTGCAGAAAAAAAACAACGAGGCACTCTGTCACTGGCAGGCTTGTAGGGTCAACAGAGAAACTGAGGCAGAGTTCCACAGGTGTGGTCACAGAAACTTGTGCTAAATCCAGTGGGGAGCATTGAGAAATTCTTGTGTTTCCTGAGGGAGTCCAAGGCACTGGCCTCACAGAGAAGAGAATGGACTTATTCTAGATACTAGAAACATTTAGGGGACATTTCTTTTTCTATTCACTGGTAGCTCAGTCTTAAAAAAGAAGAAAGACATGAGGGCTGGGAAGATAACCAGAAACATGCTTGCTGCGTAGCACAGGCCCTGAGTTAATCTCCACGACACGTTGGTATGGTATAGTAGTAGTCGTCAATAATCCCAGCACTGGTAGGGCGGAGACAGGAGGGTCCCTGGGGCTTGCTGGAATCCAGTCCTTGGCTAATTACTGCAAGCTCCAAGCTAGCAAGAGATCTCGTCTAGATAGCACCAGATGAATGACAGCCATGGTTGACCTCTGGCCTCTATATGCATGCCCACACATATGCACCTCCCCTGCATGCACAGGAAAACACAGAAACGCCTCCTGTGCCCCACAAGAAATTAGACACAAACCCTTGAGTTCCCTGGTCATCAATGACCATGGAGGGCCAACAGACTCACTCTTCGTTGCCGACATAGTCCTCTCGAAAGCAGCTGTGCCAGGACCTTGAGTAGACAGACACAGACTCGAGGGGATATAAACCGTGTGTTGGAACACCCAGAGTGTGTGAAACCGGCTTCCTCTCTAGTTCATCTCAGAGGTGCTCAGGTATACAGTGGCGAGCAGGAGTACCTGCGGACACACCCTAACAGATGGGTACCTATTTGCATCGAGAGCTTAAGGACACATCCTACTGTGACTCCATTGTAGCCCTCAGCTAGCTGCCACCATTGCTTCTCCCCTGTGTTTCTCCAGGACTTTTAATTATTGGTGGGGATCACTTCCAGAGACAGCCTGGCTGCTCTCCCCTCCTACGCGGGCTGGAGTCATTCAAAAAGGAGAGCTCTGGGTTCTGCCTGGCCTCCCAAGTACCAACTAGGTTGGGGTCATTTACTACAAAAAGCTGGTAAGAGGAATACACTTGAAACACCACCCAGGGGCTGCAGAGATGTCTCAGTGGAAAAAAGACTTGACACATAAGTGCAAGGACCAGAGTTCAGATCCCCAGTGCCCATCTAAAACCCAGGTAGGTGTGACTGTCTCTTGTAACCCAGGGCTCAGGAAGTTGAGACAGTGGTCCCCAGGCCGAGCTGGTTAGCTAGACTAGACAAACCTGGGAGTTTCAGTTTCCACAAGAGACCCTGCCTCAGGAAAGTGGAGAGCCAGCAGGGAAGACACCCAAGAACAACTATATGTAAATGAGTACACATGAGAGCACATACCCACATACATATACCCCACACATGTATGTATGCTTATATGTACATAAGCACACACATACATATATATACATAAAAATTCATTTTCTGGGTCACCAACACTATATAGATAAAATTCAGCATAATGCTAATTGTCTTACATTGCCTCAAGCCCCTATTCAGAATGTTGTTTTGAGGCCTCAAGGAAAGGTAGGGGTCTCTAGTCTCAGGGGTAAAGGGCTGGTAGCCTGTTGTGCTGATTGGCTTTATAGTACTATTATTATTATAATTATCATCATCATCATTATTATTATTGTTATAGAACAGAGTTGTCTGGGAAGAGAGAACCTCAACTGAGAAAATGCCTCCATGAGATCGGACCTAGGCAAGCCTGTAGAGCATTTTTGAAGTTAATGATTGATGTGGGAGGGTTCAGCTCAGCATGGGTGGTACTACCCCTGAGCAGGTGGTCTGGGTTGTATAAGAAAGCAGGCTAAGCAAGCTATGGGGAGCAAGGCAGTAAGCAGTACTCCCCCATGGCCTCTGCTCCCAGGATCTCGCCTTCAGTTTCTGCCCCTGCTCCCAGGGTCCTGCCTTTAGTTTCTGCCTCTGCTCCCAGGGTCCCGCCTTCAGTTTCTGCCTCTGTTCCTATCAGCAGACGGTGACTTGGGATATGTATGCCAAATCAGACCATCTTTCCCATGTTGTCTTGGTCATGGCCTTTATGACACTGAGAGAGACCTGAGTCATACACCTGTGGTCTGCAGAAGCTCAGCCAGGGCATCGGCTGGCAAGACCTGCTGGCAGGCAGGGGCGGCACAACACTCATGTTCTCCCAGGTGGGTGGGGGTTCAGGGCCACAGCTCAGTAGGCTCTTACCATCCAGGCTGGGTGCCACGACACCCAAGGAGTAGGCACCTTCTTTCACGTGCGCCAGCAGCTCTTCTCCAGGCTCGATGTCCTTGATGACTTTATAGTAAATCTAGGAGACAGAGATTAAAGACAGAAAGTGAACACTGAAGCAGTGTGTTCTCATGGCAGAGGTACTCACAGACCACGGAGCTTCCCCACAGAGGTGTCCATGGACTACGGAGCTTCCCTGCAGAGGCACCCACGGACCACGGAGCTTCTCCTGCAGAGGCACCCACGGACCACGGAGCTTCCCCCACAGAGGTACCCATGGACCAGCTCCCCACCACTGCAGGGCTACCCAGAGAGGGGGCTGGCCTGAGGGGGCCACTTCACCCAATTTTTAATTTAAAAAAAATGTTTATTTTATGTGTATGAGTGTTTTGCCAGCATGTAAATACACCACATGTATGCAGTGCCTGAGTAAGCCAGAAGAGGGAACTGGATCCCTTAGAATTGGAGTTATGGTTGCCATGTGGGGGCTGGGAAGCCTCCAGAACAGTGGTTCTCAACCTGTGGGTTGCAACCCCTTTGGGGTCAAAGGACCCTTTCACAGGGGTCACGTATCAGATATTTACATTATGATTCATAACAGTAGGAAGTGACGGTTTGTTATGGTTGGAGGTCACCACAGCATGAGGACCTGTATTAAAGGGTCACAGCATGAGGAGACTGAGAACCACTGATCTAGAAGATCAGCAATAATCTTAACTGCTGGGCCGTTTCCTCAGCCCCCAAACTGCTTGTTTTTTCATTTAAACAAATTTTATTATATTTACTTATTTTTGTGTCTACTGGGGGAGGGGTAACATGTGGATCTCAAAGGACAACTGATAGGATCAGTTCTTTCCTCCAACCATGTGGGTCTTGAGGATTTAACTCAGGTCAGGCTTGGTGGCAGGTGCCTGCTGAGCCATCTCCCTGGCCAGATCCGACCGTGAAGAAGGTCTTTCCCCAGAACTTCTACAGCATATGAAGAAAGGAGAGGAACTGAGTCCATTTTAATTCGTCTCATTTTGCTGATAGAAAGGACAGGAGAAAGCCCGAGAGTTGGCTCAGTGGTTGTGAAGTGGTTAGTTCCCAACACCCACATGGAGGCTTGCCACTTCCTCAGGTGCCAGGCATGCCAGGGGTACCCTAGGAAATGTCCCAGATTACAGGGACTTCCCTCTGGGAATGCTCCAGTCTATTCTCAAACCTCCTTCGTCAATGCGTGCCCGAGACACTTGGCTCTAAGGGGACCTGAAAGTTCTGGGTGTTGGTGACTTGTGAAGGCGCTTTCCAGCTGGGCACAGGCCCAGTGGGCGAGGTTGCTGCCATGCGTGACTTTTATACCAGTGCGGCAGGTGTGAGTCTGGCAAGCCAGGGGTGGCATGGTGTGCATGCCCGCCAGGAGCTGCATCCAGCAGGTGACAGGAGTTTGGGGGACAGGGGTGGAGTTCTATGCCTGGAGGGAGGGAGCCCTGAGGCTGAGACAGCTACATTTGGGGTGTCCAGTTCAGCGGTAGGATCTGAACCAAGACTGACAGGGGTACCCTAGCAAATGTCCCAGATTACAGGGACTCCATTCGGGATACTAAACTGTCAGAGCACTGCAGGTGACTTTGGGGTGTGTCTGTGTCTTCCCTGACTTTGCCCAGGCTCTGTCTCAAAGACTCCAGAGGCCCAGTCTCTCCTAGTGCAGGTCCTGGGCCTCCCAGGAGCACAGTGACTCAGTATCTCTTATCTGGAAACGTCAGACACGTGGCTTCATCTCTCTCGGGTAACTCACTGCCTACCTCAGAAGTGGTCTGCTTGGGACTCTCTTCTGATGTTAGGACTGTCTAGGGGTGGGAGAAATACCCAAGAGACACCAGCTGCTCTGGGGAGGCTGGGCACAGGCCCATCCAGCTGCCCTAGGCTAGCCTTCTGCATTGTTGGAGGGGGACAGGGCATGAGGAAGAGGAGAAGAAAAAACATTTTAAGAGAAGACAAACTTGCCTAAGCCCAGGAGAGAGGCAGTGATTCTCCTGGCCATAAATGGTAAACAACATTTCTGTTGCCACTAATTGGTCCTGGCAGAGGTTTGCCCTATAGATACTGAAGGGAGCCTGGTGCGCCCGCTTGCCTCCCAAGAATACAGTCCTACCTAGGGCTAAGGGCAGCTAGCTCCAGAGTGACACCTGGGAGTCACTAAAGAACACAGAAGAGCCGCACTGGGTCCGCAGTGCCCATTGGCTGTCACGAACACCAGACAGCGGAAGTGCACAGCCAGGAACCTGCAGGCATACCCAGCAATCTTATCAGTGAGACAGTCCTTCACAGATCAGCTCATAGTAGTAACTTGATCGGGCGTTAGTCTCAGGGAGGTTGATAATACAAAGAGGTTTTAAAATGGAGACTAGAAATGGGATCAAGAGACTTCTTGAATAAAACCAATGGTTTCTGAGATCCCTGCCACATAGCATCTGACTAACCTATTTTCTTGAAGGTCAGACTCAAGCCACCTTGCTTTAGAAGAGGATCCACCCACAGTTGCTCCAGCGTGAGGGACTGAGGCCACGCAGGCACCCCCTGAGCTGGAGGGGAGGGTGGGTGTCAAGCTGTTAATAAGCTTACTCACGATTCCCTCTGGCAACAGAGCACATACAGACACATACAGCAAGTACAAGCTTCATGCCCGTGGCTCAGTGACAATGTGGTAGGTGACCTGATGTTGGGTACAAGGGCTGGAAGAGGGGACTGAGAGCTTGGCCCCTCGAGGTCCTTGAGTTAGAGCTAGCCAACAACTGGCTTTGCTCCCTGCTGCAATCACCCAGATTGCACGAGGCCATGGTTACCATGCCAGCAGTGTGTCCTCCTACCAGCTGGCTGCTGGGTACCTATTCCGAGAAGTGGGTAGAGGGGAGAGCACCCATCCTTTCCACCCGCAACATTTTTCAGGCTGCCAGCCTTTCTGGCCTGCACCCCCTATCACACTTCTGGTTAGGTTGACTGACCTCCAGGGTTCCTCTATACACACACTACCTCCTTTCTCTCTGAGCTAAAGGAATCTGGAGTCTTGCCACCTGATTCTGGTTCAGAAGGCTACAGGGTCATCAGCTTCTGTCCTGGTTCCTTTGAAGGTAGCTGTCCTCCTGGAACCCACTCCTATCCACCCCCGACCGTTTGGGGGCCGCTGGGCCTCCTGACTCCTACTTTAGCTCTAGGGCTGCCCAGCCTCCCTCCCCCTCATACCCTCTGAGGGCTGGGGCATTCCGGGGACTCCACACCCTCCCACACCTTTGTTCCTTGGCTCACCGGGCCTCCAGGGACCTCTACTCCGGTTCTGTAGACAGGAGCCTTCTGGGACCCTCCCACCAGCATGGACACCGCAAGGCGAGCCACAGTAGGGCCACAAGTATCCCTTTCTCATCTTCACAGAAGGGCCACCAGGGCCCCGGTCAGGGACATGTGGGGACCACAAGGCGGCAAGTTAGGCAACTGTGGCCAGTAGGACTTTGAGCCCCGGACGTAATTAATCAATCCCTATTAGTGCTAATTGCACAGGCCAGGGCGGGGCCCAGGTGCCCCAGCTTGCCTCCACCTGGAGAGCCAAGGAAATGAACAGGAATCTTCACAGACGTTCCTGAAGTCTCGGCTACCTTAGGCAACCACGGGGGCACATACAGAAGCCAGCCCATGCTTTTATGACCTGTCGCAAGTGGTACAGCCTTTATCAGCCAGCCATTCTGAGAAAGTCAGTTCCTGCTCTGTGGAGCTGGGTGACTTCCCTTAACAAAGGCCAACTTTGGTCGGAGCTGGCACTGTTGGTTGGGGAGCCAGGTTGAGGGGGGACAGGATAGGGCATCTCAGTCTTAAGCATTGCTGCCCACTGTATGCTCCAGGCCCCTTCTGCGCCTGGCCTATAATAAACTATAACCGTCGTCTCTTAAGATTCTTGCCAACTGGTTTACTGCATTCATTTGGAGTGCACTGGTCCCTGACCATTAGCTTCACAAGACAGGCTGCGAACAAGGAGTCTAGGAAACCCAGGAGTATGACACCCTCCAGCCCTCAATGGTGGCTGCAGGAAGAAGCTGATTGCCTTCTTTCTAAACCACAGTGACACATGTTTTAGGCACATGAGTCCTGGCGTCCTGTCACCTCAGATCTAGTGGCTATTCCTTGTCTGAGAACTTGGTGGCAACAGCTTCTTTCCAACAATTGGCTTCTGTTGGTGGCACTCTGAAATAAGGACACAATCAGGCAGAGCCTGAAGCTGAGCCCCAGTTTCTCCCTCTCCACTCCCCTCATCCAGCAGCGGCAGCTCAGTCTGGGCCAACACCACTGCCTGTAACTACTCTTCCATCAACCCAAACTATTTTCTTTTCCCTCTGTCATGCTCCAGACACAAAGAGATGGCTCCATGTCGTAGAGAGAACTTGGAACCTTCTCACTGAAAGGTAGACACCTGCTTGGGGATCAGGTTCAAGCCTCAGCACCCTTCACACAAATGAGCATTGGGGATCAGGTTCAAGCCTCAGCACCCTTCACACAAACGAGCATCCAGAAGGCAGTTTACAATGGCTGCCAGTCCTCAGATCCTTAGGGCCCTTGGCTTGTACTGAAGATACTGTTTAGTGATTATGAGCAAAGGCGACAGACACCCCACAGTGCCCAGGCCTGCTATGTCTGAGCATCCTAGCACTGAAATAAAAGAAAAACCCCTTGCAGAACGGAAATGTGGTGAGCATGGGCTTAAAATCAGTGGACATGCAGGTGGCTCCGTCAGTGTCCCTGCATCTCCTCGCTCCACACGCCCGGCTGTAATAATTTCATCTGTGCGGGAGCCTCTATAATTTTGTTACTGTATGCTCTGCCACTGAAAAATTTTAAAACATCCTTATGCATTTATCTCTTCCTTTGTTGCACAGTTTGGATAAGGATCGTAAAATATCAAATATTAGCCCATAGTTAAATAATCAATGCCGTTACATGGCTCCCAACGAGGGACTGCATTTAATTAATGGAAGATAAATTCTGACAAGCAGTTGTTGTATTGGGGCCATCACCACAGCTGAAAATTGAATTTAAGCTTAGCTGCTCTCCAAA